TCCCTTCCTCTCTCTCTCAAATCCAATCCTGGCTGGGGCCGATTTTAGCTGTGTGACCCAGGAAAACCACTTGACTTCTCTAAGTCTCCATTTCCTCCTGTCAGTGGGAATAATGGCACCTCCCTCAGAGGGCTGTGGTGAAGGTGAACCGAGACAGCGCTCATGAATGCGCTAGCGTGGGGCCTCTGCTCCCGGGAGCTGCTGCTGCAATCACACGTGGGGCCTCGTGCCTCGCTGGCACTCAGGAGATCCTGCTCTGCCCAGTCCTGTCCCCACTCCCCGAGACTCCGGGCTCTGCACTGGGACTCTGGGCTCTGCATTCGTGCTGAGCACTCACGGCTCCCTGTTCCCTCTCTAAGATTTCTGCCCTCCATGCCCTCGCTTGTGCCATTCTTAACACCTGGCCTTCCTCCCCCTGTGCCCCATTTATGCATGTCTAAATTCTGCCATTCATTCATCATTTACTCATTCCTGTATTCATAACAGTGCTTTAATGCATGTCTACTCTGTGCCCAACTCTGTACCAGGTACGCTTACGTAACTTTTCTCACGCCACCCTCCTGCCAGTCTTGCCAGGAGAGAAGGGTTACCTGCATTTTCACAGGAGGAAGCTGGGCTCGGGGAGGTTACATCTCTCGCCTGAGATGATCCAGCAGCAAGTGGCAGGACTGGGGTTGGCACGGACCTGCCAGTCTCTAGAGCCCCGCTCTTTCCTGTCTGCCCTGCGAGTGCCAAGGCCGGGGGTTGGGAAGCAGGGGAATCCTAGGAAAGCAGTCCTCCGTGCCTGGGTGAGAGAGAGGTGAGAGGGGGTGGGAAGGGGGGAAGGAGCGGGGAGCGGACCAGATTTCCACTGGGCCAGGAGGAGCTGCAGGGAGGGTGGGCAGGAGGGGCGCTCCCATGGGGGAGCCTGCCACCAACAGCAGCAGGTCTGGACCCAACTTGAAGATCAGCCTGGATAGCATAACCCCAGTCAAGTGGAGGAGTCCTTCCTCGCCCCTGCCCACTCTGCCTCCCACCCCCTCTTGCAGGCCAGAGTGAGGAAAGTCCTGTGATGAAAGAAACAGGATGGTTCTCCCGGTCCTTGACTGGGAGAGAAATGGATGGCCCAGGGCTGGCCACCACACGGAGGCTCAGAGAGTTCAGAAACCAATCCCCACCCGCAGCCTCCTCCTTCCAGGGGCCAGAGCCCGGGGGGGGGGGGGGCAGCCCAAGGTCTCAGATCTATCAATCCCATCAGAGGCCAGCTCTGGAAACACAGGCACTAAGAGCGAGGAACAGACACAGAGAGACGGAGAGAGGACCAGGGGCAGAGAGGGAGGAAGGAGAGGAAGGGACACAGAGACGGAGAGGCAGACAGAGTCAAGGATGGACAGTGCGGGGTGGGTCCCTTCTGCTAGGAAGAAGGTGTCGAGAGACTGTGCACAGAAGGACAGAATGACCAGGGAGTGGTCCTCAGGGGGCCAGAGGAGAGGGAAGCAGCCCCCAGACTGCAGCAGGAGGCTCTGGCTTCGATGCTGTGACTCTATGCCCAACTCTCCTCTCTCCAGACCTCAGTGGTTCGGATTCTGCTCTGCTAGGGAGGCAGTGATAGGCAGGGGCCTGGGCCTCGTCCATGGAGGCCCTCATCCACTTCAGGGCTCCATCGTGTCCATGGTGATGACTGGAGCTGGGTCACATCTCTTCTGACTCCTTGTCTATCGATCGCATGTCTCTCTCTGGGTCGGGATCCTACACTGTGTCATGTCACTGAGCTTTCATAAAGAACCTGCTGAGGGAAGTGGGGTTCGGGATGCACCGACCCCTATCCCAGCAGAACCTCAGATCCACAGCTTCCACCTTGGCCTTCCCCTCCCTGCACCCCAGGGGCACAGCTCTTAGCCCTGGGTGCCCTGACCACACACAGCTCTCCGCATGTGATCTTCCAGCCTCGTGCCTGGTGTTGAGTCCGGGCTTGGATTTTGAACTGTGGCAGCCACCAGGAGCGTCTGGAGGACAGACCAGTTGGGAGGCTGCAGCCCCAGAAAAGGTGACTCCGCAGAGCACATCCTCAAGGCTGACCTCAGGAGAGGGGGCTGTGGGCTCAGATAGCACAGGGCCAGGGCCAGGGAGCTCACAGAGGCGCCTTCTCAGCCAGGTGCTGAGTAAACCGAAGAGGGAGCTCAGGCAAAGAGCTCCCGACCGCAAGGGGGAACAAGCCCCCGCTGCCATAGCTGTGCATGGGACTCAGTCTCCTGGTAAAGGAGGCCTGAGACCATCCTGCTTCTCCATCCACAAAAGGAAAGAAATCAAGAAAGGGGGGTATTTTCCCAGCCTCCTCTTTCCCATCTGCCTTGGGCTGGCTTTGACTTTGGCTGGTTGTCTTCATTCACGGCCATGGCTTGAGCCCTGAGCCCTATGGGGGAAACCATGATGATGATGATGATGATGATGATGATGATGATGATGATGATGATGATGATGGTGATGGTGATGGTGATGGTAATGGCGGTGGCATTCATTGGCTTAGAGCTAACAACCAGCAGGAACGCACTGTTAAGGCCCTACCAGTTGTTAAGTGTTGAAACATGTCCATAACAGCTGTTAACCAGCGCCGGCCTGGCCCAAGCACCCTGAGCACACGGCTAAGGGCCCTGCCGCCAGGACTCCATCTCCACACTCCTTCTCCGCCCAGAGGGCTAAGGGCCCTGCCGCCAGGACTCCATCTCCACACTCCTTCTCCGCCCAGAGAGAGCCGGCCCCACTCTGAGCATCTCCGCGCCTCAGGTCGCCAGCAGCAGGTACATCAGCCCCGCACCGGGTGCCCGGGGCCATGGCGGCTGCCCCTGGAGCTGCGCCCCCTCCTCCAAGGGCCTCGCCCAAAGCTGAGCAATCAAGACTCGCTCGCTCCAGGGCTGGCGCAAGAGCCACCTCCTCCCGCTCCCTCTCCGCGGCTGCAAACGCAGCTCATTTGCATGTGGATCGCGCCTGCCACCATGGGTGCTGGGGTCAATTGAAACTCAAGAAAAGAGAAGAAATTTATGCAAAACTGTTGATTGCATTTGTATGTAATGAAATCATCCAATATTCATCTGACTATAGAATCTAATCTGAGGAGAGAACTGAAGGACATGAGTGTCACTGCACAACCGTAATGAGCCACTGTAGTGATTAAAAAAGCTCTTGAGCCTTCTGAAAATCCAGGCAGAAATAGCGTCTAATCAACTCTGAATATAGGAGGCGAGATTGGGCTGGCGCGCTGCGCACGGCCCGCCGCGGCGCTGGGGGTGCGCGGTAAACCCGGGCGGCCGCGATCTGTGGGTGCCAATCGCCCGGCCACAATCAGTCCTCCCCGCACAAAGCAATCGCCGCCTCTCGCCGCGCAGAACGAGCCCAATCACAGCTGCTGTGAAGAGCGGCTTCGGCTTTCGCACTCGCGCCATAGCCTCCCTCCCAAAGGCCTCCTCGGGCTTCCTTGCTCCCACCCTGGGAGGCAGGGAGGATGTGGGGATCTGGGACTGTCACACCTGGACACATCTGGGGCCCAGCCTGTCCAAGAGGGGGGAGGGTCCGGGGTCTCTCAGGACCCTCGCCTCCTCACAGAAGTGTCACTAACACACACACACACTAACACACACACACACTGTTCTTCCCTTGCAGCTGCTTTGTTTTCCTTCATAGCACTGAACTGCGTCTGCCATTGTATTATTTATCTGTTTAATGTCTGCGTCCTCCAAGTAGAATGTGATCCCCAGGAGGACAGGGACTCTGAGGTTTGTTCACTACTGTGGAGTGCAGAGAACCCGACTTGACACTTAGTAGATGCTCAATAAATATTTGTTGAATGAATAAATCCATTTCCATGAACAGCCAAATAGGTGTGTTCAATCACTCAGCAAATACCTGTGGAGTGCACGTGGGTGCCAGGCTTCACTCCGGGCACCGAGCTGGTGATGCCGATAAGATAGTCCCTGCCCTCCTGCAGCTCAGCGTTGGGGAAGGAGACAGACATGGAAGACATTACCTATAATCAAGTGGGCCAGGGAGGGGCTGGGGATGGTCCTAGGCTATGGGAGCAGCTGACAGGGGGTGGGAACCCAACCTGGGGCGGTCAGGGAAGGCTTCCTGGAAGCAGTGACATTGGGTTGAGACCTAAAGGATGTACAGAAGTGAGCAAGTCAGAGAAAGGTCTGGAGCACCCCAGGCGGAGGCCTGGCATGGCATGGCATGTGCAAAGTCCCTGCAGTGACAGGCACTGTGGGACCTGAGAGAAGTCAGTGTGTCTGGAGCCAGAGCAAGGGGGAGGTTGGAAGACCATCCAGGTCAAACCTGGCAGCCCAGACACTGAGGGAAGAATGTGGGCCTTTTTCCTGGGGGTGATAGCCTCTGAAGGGAGGGTGGCATGATTCGCATCTTTAAAAAAATGTTTTGTTGATTTTTAGAGAGAAAGGAAAGGAGAGGGATAAAGAGGTAGAAACATGCCCCCCCCCCTTACTATGGGGATTGAGCCCACAACCTGGGCATGTGCCCTGACCAGGAGTGAACCGGGGACCTCTTGGTTCATGGGTTGGTGCTAAAACACTGAGCCACACTGGCCAGGCATGATGTGCATTTTGAAGAGGTCACTATGGGGAGATAGGCCAGCTATGGAGTAACAGGTTGGTTAGGAGGTATTCCGTTATCTGGGCAATAGGCGCTTCTGAGCAGGACCATTAGATGATTAACCTGAGTGCAAGAATAGAGCAGAGGAAGGAAAATCAGGTAAGAGGCAGCAATCAGCCTGGTGGCAACTCATTCATTCATTCATTCATTCATTTGTCCATGTACTCAGCATTCAACAGATCTCTGTACGTGGAAGCTGCCCTTCTCCACATTCTTACTTACTGTTTCCAATCCGCTCCAGGGTTGGCTACCAAGGTACCTATTATTAAAATGGGATCTAACGCTGGGCTGACTGGGTTCTGAGAATTAAAGGCACTGGGGATCATGAGGCTGCTTTTTTTGGCACGGACTTCCTGACATCAAAGGAGCCTTATGAGTCATTCGACTTCTTGAGGCCTGAAAACCCTCATCGACCAAGATATGGAAACAACCTAAAAGCCCATGACAGATGGGTGGATAAAGGAGATAGAGCCCGCGTGGTGTGGCTCAGTGCTTGAGCATCAACCTATGAACCAAGAGGTCACCCTTTGATTCCCAGTCAGGGCACATGCCTGGGTTTCGGGCTCGATCCCCAGTTGAGGGCATGCAGGAGGCAGCCGATCCATGATTCTCTCTCATTGATGTTTCTATCTCTCTCTCCCTCTCCTTTTATCTCTCTCTCAAAACGTATTTTTTAAAAAGAAAGAAAATGGAGAACTAACTCAGGTCTCAAAGGCCTGATGGGATTGAAATGGTGAACTGGGTGTAGGGGAAGTAAGTGCATGAGTAAAGACGCAGAGGCAGGAACGAGGCATGCACAAAAGTGAGGAAAGTAGCTGAACAGAAGATGGGACTGTATTCCTGGGGGCTCCCCATTCCAGAAGGCACACTGTGAATTTCAGGAGCCACTCCCCTCCCCTGCAAAATGATTGTGAGTGTTGGATCCTGGATGTGATCAGAGCCTTTGTAGTTGCTCCTAATGGATGGGAGAAGTAAGTTCAGCCTCACAGACACCACCTCTGTGCCAGCCTCTGTGCTGTAAGTCCCTCTCCTCAAGAGGGTCCTGTCCAGTGGGGAAGGCAGTCTATGAACGTCACACAGGGGAATACGAGGGGGAAAGCACTGTGAGCTCTGAGAATTTGAAACCAGGGAAAAGAAGGACCACCCACATCTGCTTGGCGGGTGGATTCCTCGAAGGCTTCCTGCAGGAGGTGGCATTTGAGCTGGGTCTGGAGGATGTCTCTCTTTCTCTGGAACACATTTTCAAGCATAAAAAAATTAAAAACAGAAAACAAGATAATAACCATTCCTATTTTCACAACACAAAATAAATACTGCGTTAAGTTTATATATTCATATATAGATATATGAAATGACTTTGGGTATACTTTAAGCCTCCTGCCTATCCCCCAGTGGTAATCACCATTATGAATTTTTAAGTAGCCCTTCAAACCCACCCTTTTAAAAATAATGCAAAATAGAATCAGGAATAATTTTTTTAAAGAATCACTTTTTGATTATGTCATTCTAACTTATGTAAGTGGCATCACACTGTATCTATGACTCCACTTGCTTTTCCCATGGCTCCTTATGTTTTGGGGGCTCTATTCTTGTTGAAACGTGTGGCCCTGGCTTACCATTGCATCCTATGGATGCACATGTATTTACCCCGGAATGGGTAGGGTTTCCATGGATGGAGATAATCAAGGGATGACATTCCAGGTAGAGGGAGTGGCAGCATAGAGGGCTGGGGATAGGAAAGCCAGGACACACCTAGGGGCTGGTACAGTCCAGGGTGGAGGGAGCACAGGGCATGTGATGGGAGGCTGGGGAGGCCCCGTGCCCCAGGTGAGGAATCTGCAGTTGGCATACTGGACATCTGGATTGTGGGGACAGCTCCCCTCCCCCTGAACCTCCGCACGCCCCCCACAATAATTCCACTTATCACTCTCCAAGGCCTCTCAGGGGAGGACTCCGTTACTCTTTCCATTAATTGTCTCATTAATGACCCGCTGAAGTCAAGTACCTATTGTTCTCTGGGGCCTGGGGCAGCCTCCCTGGCTTTCTCCCCCGGGGATCAGTAAACCTCTTTCCTTCCCCTGCTTTCCTTTGGCAGGCGTCCTTATCTGGTCCCCGCAGCCCTGGCGGCCAGCGCTGGCTCTTCCTCCACCCACACCCTGCACGACCCTGGGGCCCAGCAGGGCCACAGCCTCCCTCCCTCTCCCCACTGTCGTCTGCCCGCAGTTCTCTCCATCTAAGTGTGTGTCTTTCCAGTTTTCTTTTTTTCTTCCTTTTCCTTCCCTTTCCTTCTTCCCCACCCCACCCCCTTTTTTAAATACTCTGTCTCTCTCCCTGGATGTTGGTCCCTTTCTTTGTGTGTATTTCTCTATCTCCCTCTGGGTCTGTCTCTATTTCTAGGTGTCTCTTTCCGGATATCTGTTAACTGTCGCACTGTCACCATCTGTTTCTCTCCGTCCCTGTGACTGTTTGTCGCCATCTTTCTGTCTCTACCTGCTGATCTCTAGGCTTCTACGTGTGCCCGGGAGTGTGCATGTGGGTGTGTTTCTGTCTCCCTCCCTCCCTCTGGCCCTGTGTGTGTATCTCTCTCAGTTCCTGCCTCCCTCTCTCCGCTCTCTGACTTAACCTCTCCTCACCCGCCCCTCCTCCCTGTAGGTCTCTGAACCCTCCTGATTGACTATTGTCCTGTTTCCAAACCCTGGCCCCTCAGCCACCGCCTGCTCACCCACGGGGACCCCTGACACCCACACAGCTCACATTGCCTCCCTACGTCCCTCTGGTTACAGTTCCAGCTGCCCTTGGAGGCAGCCTCAGGGACATCAGCTCCAGGAGTAGGCGTGAGGGCACCATAGCTGCCAGACGTTGGGATTCATGCATCAGTGAAGTTAAATAAAAAGGAGGGGACTAACTTCTTATATTTCTAAATAATGATTTTTTTTAGAATCACCAGCTTATCTTAAGAATATTTTAACACTAACCACACAAGTAGAAAGAGCAAAATGTAAGAATATAGAATAGTCCTTTGAGTTAAATTACCTACTGTATGAAAACATTTGCTACATTGCCTTTATCTATTTTGCCCCAAATGGGTGAAATTGCTGCCAGCCTGGGTTCTCTGATCTTGTCCAAGCCCCTCCCTGGCACCCATGGGGGAATGGAGTGACCTTTATTGAGGA